ACTTTCAATTTCTTGACGGTACCCAACTTGGGACTTGTCTTGATTTGAATGGATTTACTCATATTTGTGACCTTATTCCCATCTCTGATAATTTTAATACCATTTTAGCATTGTTGAAAACATAGTTTGTAATTTGCAAGAAAATGGGATTTGGGGGATTGAATCGTCCCCCAAATATGACACAAGTCATTCATTGTTTCACTCTCGTAGCCCATTGTGTCATGAAATGGATGCACCTCTAGTTATATGCATTAGTGACTGAGGACTGACCTAGTAGTGCTGAGTGCTGTACCTGGCTTCAGGCCAGTCGCGTGTCTGAAAAATTCCCAGTACCATGTGTGAGCTGGTGCACATGGCCGCTGGATTGTGGTGTCAGGACTTAAAGGTGTTCTCATTCTCTCAGATTTTATTCTGGCATTCAGCTTTGATCAGGATATGCCTGTTTAGTACTTTACTTACCTTCCTGTCTTCATGCTCTTCCTTGTCACTGTTGCATAATGACCCAACTTTGACCTTGTCTAAGTGCTGGTGTTGATTTGAAATCAATTTTGGCATTTGGGAACTGGTTTATCTGCGTGTTTTGGCGATCTGTAAATAAATCAGCGCATCTTACATAGAAGCCGATGCAAGGACTCAAAAAAAAAAGGAAGCACTCATTCTGCAAATCTACAACGTGGGAGAAATCCAGTACTTTGGGGGTTAAGTTGAGAAAGTTAATGTAATAACTGCTAGCACCATCTGCTGGCCTACTTCCTCACAAAGAGAGAGAGAGAGAGAGAGAGAGAGAGAGAGGGGTGAGTGAGCGAGAGAAAAACGAGTCTGGGTTTTAACGACATCTCTAATATTCATGCTGATGCATTTTGCTTCTTTGTGCTTTCATTTTCCACTGCTCCGGCTGCCTGAGTCGCAAGCTCGCCACACACACGCCAGCCAGGCGGACAGAAGGGAAACAAGCAAGGACCGGGAAAGGGATAAGTATAGGGAGGGGAAAGAGAGGGGAAAACCAACAAAACCAAACAACCGAGAAAGGTCAAACAAAGCCTTTTCTGTAAGCAACAAGAGGAGAAACCTACCTTTATCTGTCTGCTGAAGAAGACGAGGAGAGACGTAAAAAGGGAGACGACAGAGCAGAAACGGCGAAAAGAAGGAGAATTAAGAGGACCAGAGAGGCACCGAGAGCACACTCACGAGAGGCAGGAGGAAAAGGGGACTCAATGTGGGGGGGAGGAGAGAGGAGACAGGGTAAGGCAACTCTGACACACACGCGCAGAGAGAGAGAGTAAGGCTGAAGCCGGACGACGGCGAAGCGGCACGCAGCAGCAGAATGAGAGCTTCCTGGACTGCCACGCACCTCCTCTACCGCCAACAGCGCTGCTCCCTCATCACCCTGTGAAGAGACGAAAGAGGGAGGAAGAGAGAAAGAGAGAGAGAGAGCTCCCCATGCGCTCCTCTTGAGCCCTGCCCGCTGGGGGAGGAGGCGACGGAACGGTTCCAGCACCGCTCTCACTCTCGCCCGAGGAGACGAGCTGACCGGGAAAGGAGGAGGAGGAGGGAGGAGGGGAGGAAAACCAGGAACGAGCAAGTGAGGGAGGGGAGGGGGGGGAACACCAGCTCAAGGAAAAGTGACAGAAACCGGACTGTGGAAAAAAAAAAAGAAGAGAGAGGAGTGTTTGGAAGAGAAGGAGTGAGTGAGCAACAGAGAGCAGGAACACGGTGAAAGGGCAAGGCTTTTGTTAGCCGGTTGGAGAGGGGGAGCAAAGAGGAAGGAAAAAAAACTCACCATGTCTACAGTGAAGAGGCCAAGAGGAAGGGTAAGTGAGCTGCTCTCAGAGCTGGGAGGGAGGAGGAACGAGGGTGGGGGGGTGAGAGGAGGAGGAGGAGGAGGGGCCGGCAGCAACTGAACAACCTCCTCTGCTACTGGCTCATGCTGCACTGCCGCCATCTTGAACTCATTGCTGATTTTTTTATTTTTTTTCCCCTATGCTCCTCTTTACTCTCATTCTTTCTACTGTGTGTGGCATAATGAAGACGCGGCGGATTCATCTAATTTACCCCCGCCCCTCTCGGCCTTTCATGTCACACATCACTTTGTCATTCTCCTGTTGATCTGCGCCTACAGCTGTCCTGCTCTGTAGTTTCAGTGCACCGTGTGGTGTGTGTTTGCCCTCCACGAGTTGAGCCCGTCAGTCACCAGAGAGCCCGCTCCATGTGGAAATGAGGGGTGGGCATGGAGGGAAAGGTGTCCAACCTAAATGGAGCTTACTCCACCTTTTCGTGGGCTCTGTCGGACCCCGCCGTTTTTCACGGGACTGCGTGCTGTGAGAGAGATTGAAATCACTGCAGTGCTGGCAGGCTGTAATTTCAGTTATTTATAGATGTATTACACAGCTGCAGCGCTCTCAGTTTTGGTGCATTTTATCTTTTCTCTCTCCATCTCTTTAGCTTCGCTGATGGAAGCCTGTTTTTGTATTTTTTTTGTCGCCCTTCTCTTCATGTGTGTTCATGTTTTTTTTTTCTTGTGCATTACTTTCAACTCCTCCCTCTGTTTTTTTAACCATTAACTTGAATGGGAACATTCCAGCTTGATCCCAGCACATTTCTTCCTAATAACCTCAGCAGAGAAGCACACGTGAAAATCATAATGCAGCTCTTGTATGTGTTTTTTTTCCTCCCCTCCTCTACTTTCTTCCAGAGGAATTGTTAATCATTCATTCCCTCCCCCCACTTTGGTATTGAGGTTTAAGCTAATTCTCTTTTATTTTGCTAGCAGTGTGGAGAGGGGGAGAAAAAAAAGCAACTAGGCGCGCCTGGGCCATGTAGCCATACGCAACACATTTTTAGATTAGGTCATCCATTTATGGGTTCTCTTTTTCGCTGTGCTGACACCCCACAAAGGGGCATAACTGCAGTAACTGCATCCATTATTCACATATTATCATGTATCACGGAGGCTGGATTATTTATGTCTGCAAGGCACAGTGTAACCTGCTACAACGAGCATGTGACCAAGTCAAAGAATAACATTTACATCAGATTTTTCATGTCAACTGGTGTCCACCTGATCTGAACAGATTCTCCACAGGATCGCTGATCTTTCCCCCCTGCTGCATTTCCACTAGTTTGAGTTAGATGGGGTTTGTGAGAGTTGAAGTGAGTAACAGGCAGAGTGAGACCGGTCCACCCCCCACCTACAGCATCAGAGAAAGAGGCTCTGCTGTCTGACACAGCCTACAATAGGTCTCTGCTTTCTTAATAAGACTCATCATATTCTCATACCTAGTTATGCTATCATACCATATTTGGTGACAAACTAACTCCACAATATGTACCTTTTTTGTAAAGAAATAAACAAAAACACAAACAAACCATTTCATTTGCTTGAAGTGTGTAGGACTGAGTCCAATTTCCTGGTCTTCCTCATAAACCCCTGGGATTTTGAGTCTCCTCTTGGCCCTTAAGTCATGATGTGTGATTGTTAAAACATCTTACTGCAATATATAAAGAAATGTAACTGTTTACCGTGAATGTACTCATATAAAGGGTGGAAGATTAGCGCTGCCGACTGCTCTGAGTTAAGTTTCCCTTTGGAATCAACTTTTTATACCCTCAAGGGCAATTATCTTCCCTTTCTCATACCCACATTCAAACCTTTTCATATCTATATACTGGTTCAGTTCTCATGGTCGCTAAGTATTTTTAGATAAACTAGAGAGATGAATGGCTTTAAAAATAAAGTTATATAAAAAAAACCGTAGTAACTATTTGATAAATATTTCATGTGCTTTTACTCTTTGAAGTTCATATCCCAGTTTGGGCCAGCTGACTGAGAGACTACTTCTGTTCAAATGGCAATGAAAATTTTCCTGGTAAAGAGGTATTTCTTGGTATTAAATGATCACTCTTCCTTAAATTAAACATGATGAAATTATAGAAAAAGATTTTAGATCTTTGAAAGATAAAAACTATCCGAAGAATTAGATTTAATTGAACCAAAAATACAAATGTACGAAATGGCCAAGAGACCAAATGAGCATAAAACAAAACATTTCCTGATTGCTCTTGTCCAGGTCTCTTTGAAAATTACTGTTCACTGTTATTTTCATCTCTTGACTCCTTGAAACATTTGGCAGGATGGGGTAACTCGGATGTAACGCTGCAATACCGTTGCCAACCATTTGGTTGTAGAAATTAAACGTTCTCTGGTTCAAATCTGGAATTACAAAACAATCTGTAACAATGTAATGTTAAATGAAATTTCTTAAACTTATTGAAGAAAATTAACAATAATGGTAAACATAAAAGATAAAAATACATCAAACTAGGTTGATGGTGTCCAAATTCAGTCAATAAGGGCCTGGTGTCCTGCCTGTTTTTAGATGCATCTCTGCTCCAACTTGGCTGATTCAAATAGCAGAATGACCTTCACAGCATGTCTTATAATTCCCAAGAGACCTTGTATCGATCCTGTTATATAATTAAGTTGAACCAGGACAGCATTTAAAAAAAAATCACACTGAACTGGACACTGTTCACCAGAAAAACCTTTGTTGGGCCTGATTGGCCTACCAGAAACCGTTCTCCTCGATTATTAAAAACGGTTATAATACTGTTATTATCATTACTATTACCATTTTTAACTTTTTCTGTTTTAGGGCCTTTGGTGCCATCTCTGGAATTACATTTTGTATGAAACCATGGCCAGGTTGGAAACCACTATAGGGTCGATTTGTACCTGCTTTGAAAAAACACAATTAAAAGTAATTTTGTACAATTTGCTACTAATTTGCTGTGAGGAAATAAACAAGTTTGGTCAGCAGAAAGTCACCTAAAGGTAATTTGATGTTATTCAGAGGTCCTGGTGCAGTGGTATCTCTAATATTGGTTTGGATAATCAAGAAAGTGCTATTTATATCATGTGTGTCTTATTTATGAAATGTGATTGAGAAAGGTATGACACTTTTGAATAATAAACTTCTACTACTGTTCTTCTCTCCCCTTAGCCTCGAAAAAACCCCAATGGTCCCAGTAGCCAGGTGCGGGTCCTCAGTCCCCCTGTGAAGAGCAGCTCTTCCTCCTCCTCGTCCTCTTCTTCTTCGTCTTCATCCTCATCCAGCTCCTCATCGGAGAAGAGGGTGCCACGGAGGACACACCATCAGATGGAGTCAAATCTGCATGAGAAGCAGGAGAAGGCCAATAGGATAATATCAGAAGCTATCGCCAAGGCCCGACAGCGAGGAGAGAAGAACATCCCACGAGTTATGAGCCCGGAGAGCTTCCCCAGCTCTTCTTCTCAGTACAAGAGCCACCGTGAGCGCGAGCACAAGGGAAACGGGAAGACCCGGAGCAAAGAGAAATCCTCCAGGAAGGCCTGCATTGTACCCTCCTCAAAGTCCAAGCAAAAGACTAAGATCGGGTATGTAAATGGCCTTCGTTCTTTTATTAAACCGCCAAAACGCACAACTTATGAAAGAATAATACACTAAGTAGACCTTTGATCATTATTCTGTTAATTCCTGCCTGAATCGCCGCAGCAGTACATGAGCTCAAATTAGCATGTGACACATGCCTCTGGTTGGCTGCTTGCTGCTGTGCTCCAGCATGCCAGTATAGAGCTGCAATCATTCTATGTTTGTAATAATAATAAATCATTTATTGCCATCATTTGCTCCATTGATGAATTATTTATTACACAGTACAGCACAGAGTTGACAAGGATAGTTATATGATGGTAAGGAGAAATGTTGCTTTTAAATCCAATGGACACAAATATTCTGCCAGGTAGCAGCAATGTATTTCGTCTTTGTACGGTTTCTTCCTTTGGCTACCAAGATGGGAGCTCAAAGTTCAACCTTTACTACATGCCATAACCATAAACCAGGCTTAATCGTGAGCACAGACATGGGAGGAGCAAACAAAGGCTGCATTTACATGTGAGATACTGCTGCTTCAGACGTTTAGGGAAGAAGTCCTGATGTATAGATATCGTAATTCACCTACCATCCCCCATTGCTTAACTGGTATATGCAAGTGTGCAGCTGTAAGCCACACCCCACACAAGCTATTAAAATATCAGTTGGTGCAGATGTGAATGCAGAGGCATGAAGACAAAGAAGCAGCCTAATGTTTAAATGCAGTCATTTCAGACTGAGCTGAATCTGGGGTGAAGGGAGCAGTAATTTTTTAGAGCACTGAAATGAGCAATATTTTTTATTTTTTTACCTGTTGTGGCAGATTGACAGCGGTCAACAGTTCACCTGGCAGCTGGGTTGGTTAATAATTAGATGAGCGTGGCAGAGGAGGAGAGGTGTTGAACATGATAGATCTCACTTGTTGTGTGTGTGTGCATGTGATGATAAAGAGAGACCGATTTCAGATCACTGAGTTTTGTAAAGCTAATTCTGATGTTTCTATAAGCAATAAAAAATAACAAAATGAAAAATGGTTATCTACATAAATTGCCACAATTAGTTGGAATTATGATTATAACGCTGTGTCTCTGTGGATTATTAAAAATATAGTTCAAGTGAGCTGCATCACAAGATTTTACATTTTTGTTTCTGAAGATCCATTTTCCTAAATAATTGTCTAATTTACTATCTAAGGGTGGGGGGGGGGAAATTAGTTTGAGTTTGGTTACTAAGTTAATAATTCATCCATTCACTGTAATATTTCTAAAGAAAATTAAATTGTAAAGAGAATCAATGAAACCAATTTTCTTGGATACATTTAGCTTCCGGTTGTTTGCTGAAGTCCTTTTCAAAAGTAGCAGTCTAAAATGAACATGTGAAACACCACCGTAAAAGGTTTTCATAGAAGTTACCTAAGCCGTTTCTGCTTCCTTTAAATTCACTTTTCACTTTATTATTGCTACCTAAGATGGCCAAGTTTGTCTTTTTCACTCTTCTGGAGTATATGCTGATCAAAAGAAAGATCAATATTTTTCTGAGGTTATCCCCATTCTTGTCCAGAATACGCTCAAATGAAATCAGTCACTGGCATTCTTCTTGGTGCACCTCCAGAGCAAACATAAAAATAGAGCTGCGAGAGCTGAAACTTTGAGTAGATTGTGTCATCAGTCATGTTGATGCAATCGTTGTTTAGAGTTCAAATCAGCTCCAGTGTTGCAGCTGCTGAACAGAAAGACGGTTCATCATCCTATAGAAAGTGCAGTTTTTCTCATTATTTTAAGGACCTTTTAGTTTTGATTCAGAGAACAGAATGCTTTATTCTTGCTACTGAGTGCACGTGTGTTTTCATATCTCCTAAATACCTTGATAAACCAGTATGAAGCCTAATATTTCACTTTAGATTTGGGCTGCACAATACATCGTAAAGTTTTTATTGCATAATGCTTTGCAGTGAACTGCTTGGACAGCAGTAGATATTGGCTAAATACATCGTTAGTCTGCTAGTTATATATTTGGTATTGCTTGTTCTTTAATGCAGCAGTCATTAAGAAAGTTGTTTCAAATGTTTAGTTGTTTCAACACCAAAAGGAAATGGATGCAAGATTTTCAATAAAGTTTTGTCAAAACGGAAATTATGCATTTTTTTTTCTAATAGTTGCGTATTTACCAATTATCTGAGAATCTAAAGCAGAAAAAAACAAACACAGTTTAAGTATTTGTTTACTTCCACTCGTCACATCGTTATGGTAACAACCACCAACATGATCACATATCGCATTTCCCTAATTTTTTGCAGCCTCTTTAGGCGTTCCAATATGTGTTCAATTAATACATGCATGTTAGTAAGATTATACCCAGGTCAACAATCTTTATTAAAATCCTGCACTTGGTAACTTTAAAACTTATTTTAGGTAATTATTTTGTATTTGAGAGCTTAGTCACTGCACAGGAAACAGACTTTCAGTTTGGGGTATTTAATATAAACACGAGATGCAATATGTGATTTAAGCTCTTCACACTCTTGTACATTCCTTAAAAATAGTTTTAAAAGGTTAGTATTGAATTTAGTAAAATTTCGGACTCTACATGAGTGTTTCAAACCAATTCTTGCTGGAATATTCATGGACTGTCCCTGTATTAGCTGAGCATCCAACTAGGAGAGACGTTTCTGACATTTCTTTGGCACATGATTTGTTGATTTTCTTACTGCCTTCTTTTGTGTTTTTTGTTGTTTTGTTTTTTTTAACATGACAGTGACGTTTAACTGTCTGTGTATTACTAGAGGCTTGTGGGAGTGCGTGACTGCTTCATGTGAGGTGTGAAGATTCATAGCCTGGAAGATTTCATCCTTGTAGATCTTTTGCTTTTCTAGTAATCAGAAAAAGGATACTTCATGGCTTATATTAGAGGAAAGATGTTAATTAGTTTTAAGTTCTCTATGAAGAACACAAGTTTAACTTTAAAAAAATATTTAATATGAAACACGAAAAAAATGTCTGAAGTTAGAAGCAAACATTTCTTAATTTGCAGCAAGAAAGATTCAGTTTCATTCAGGTGGGCTACATGTTCCTACCATGAAAGGTAAAAACAAGAACAATCACAGTTTTATGACGCTGCAAAGCAAACATTGAAACATCAATGCAAACACCACCACATTTGTCTTAATACCACATAATTATTCTTTTCATGATTCAAATTTCAACACTGGCTTTTAGGATTAAGTCATAAGAAAACAGTGAAGTTTCGACTCGATGACTTTAACTAAAGTATATTTGTTAAAAGGGGTGTGTGACTACCTGGAGACTTTAGAATGACAGGAGGAAAATTTCTTGCCCAGCAGAACATTCCAACCGTAACACAACACCCCTTGGGTGTATCTTTTGTTGCAACGGTGTTAGCATAGCATCTGCTGCAATAAATTTTTAAAGTTGGCCTTTGCATTGCGTTATAAACTCTAATGTCTGTTCTCTGTATACACAATGCATTAGATATAATTACTTCATAGCCATGGGGATGGTACAATGTTTCAAAATCTCTTTTGGACTTTGCCTCTTTGCAACTGGGCCTGCATCATCTGTATGGGTCATTTTCTCACTTGGACATTGAGAGTTGATGAAGCAAGGTTGTACTTTTGTTCCCTACCATTTATGTTTGTCATAGTTTTCTGATGCAAAAGGCATTTGTATGTGTGTGAATCACTACCATTCTGCATGTCAATACCTAATCCGGAAGAGGGTTTTAATGCATATTTGATGCCAAAGCAAGACATGGTGAACAATTTATTCAGTGTAAAATCTGGTTCATAACCATTTACCAGTAGGATCTCCCCATAAAATATTTTTCCTAGGAGCAGAGGTACTAACCTACTTCTAGAGTTTATCACTTTAACCTCTGTCTGAGGGAATGTGCTAGACAGGAACCGGAAAACCTGAGGTGTGTGTGTGTTGTGTTCACTGTGTGCTCAGACTTCCATTGCATCATCTGACAGTTGTTTAAGCAGGGAATGGAGCCTGAGATAAGACTATTACCCTAATTGTCTGTGTGCTCAACTGTCTTTTTCTCTGAGACCACCATACAGTTTGCTTTGTTTCCACTGGAATTTATTTTTTAATTTCCCGCAAGTGTCTTCTGATTGTTTAGCTTGTTTGCTCCACCAAGGCTTCAGAAAGGAGAAAAAATAATTTGTATCATCATGGAAAATCTGCCTGACTGATAACTAAAGTAAATAGAAGAAGCAGATTAGAAGAATGTACCAACAAACTGTTATAACTATGTTAAAATGATGAATATAAGTCATTTTTATATTTATACTCTGACAATGTAAATGTATTTGGGCATTGTTAAAGTCCACTAATATGGAGGTTCTTGACACATCAAGCGGCACGTTACTTTACTGTGATGTTGCTTTCAGCTTTAATAAGAGATGCTGACTTATTGAGAGTCCTAATCAGTCCAAATATTTTACCAGGAAGTCACAAGGAAGAAACTGCATCAGAATACTTTTGGAGAAACCTAAATACTCAAACTCTGATGCAGATTTGTGGGTTTTTTTTTTTTTTTTTGGCATTTATGCAAATCTTGCTATGTATCTCACAAGATCTTTCTCTGAACAGTGTCGGTGATCTGGCAAAAATCAGTAAATCAGAATTTACTCACTTTTAAACAGAAAATATGACATCGTTATCATCTATGTGATTAACACAGTTATCCTTACTAGCATTACTAAGATCATTCTGAGTGATTATGTAAGAAATATAGAGCTTATCTTAGTTCTGAGTTTCTCAGAAGGCTGCATACATTTTTACATTCAGCTTTTTAATGGCGGATGCTAAAATCTCAGATAAAACAACAATTTTCATTCAGTTTTACTGTTTCATACTGAAAGTCTTGGTCTCTCTTGCCCTCTCCCTGCCTCCATGAGCAGCCGAAGACATGTCTAAGGATGTTTCAAACAAAATGCTCTTAACTTTTAAATTGCATGTCTTTGCTTCTGCTTTCTTTTTTT